TACCCAGTTTTGATGAGTTCTGCACTTCCACGCATGCGCAGGACGCATACAGCGCCTGCGCGATCCTCCAGGAGAAGCTGGAGCATCGCACAGACGCTAGTACGCATGTGTGCACTGCGCCCGTGCACGAGGACGCCGCCAGCCCCGTTCCAACCGAACCGGTTGGAATGGGGCGAGAAACCCACCCCTGGCCTTGAGAGATAGTTGAAGAAATGCTGTTTTGGGAAAGGACCGATAAGAAGATACTATACTTTCAGGCCTGCAAGATTCTCTTAATGCAGCCTTACAATGAAGTAGAATTAGCTCATCTGGTCGTGCTTTCTGTCTGGTCCACCTTAAAAGGCTGGCGTCAATATTGCAAGTCTGAAATTGCAAATCTCCCGCCGTCTCCTATACAGCATGGGAAGCTAAGAGGCTTTTGAGCCGCTTTCTCCATCCATTAGGCAGCTAAGGGCTAAGCCCTTTGTTTTCTGATTATTCCCTAGGAAGCATTTCCTCACCCTGACTCTCAAGGCCTTTCTCACATACCATTACACCTGACAGGGTAAATCATTCTGTCTTTAGCCACAAAAGAAGTCATAAAGCACCAAGGCTTGACTCACAGGACATGACAAAGTACCAGCCAACCAATATTACAATGTAAGTGTGTGGCTTAGACCCAGCTGCATTCAACCACAGCTCCTCCAATCTTCACCATGTGGACTATAGAGGCATTATACTCGTTAATGGAAGCCAACCCTACTCTTAAACATTGTTTGGGCCTACAGAGGCAAGGCTATTGCTTGCTTAATTGTGGCTAACTGAATACATAATCTTGAATGAAATCATGAGGCGGCAATAATCTGGTTCAGTAAATAGGGACGCAGAGTACAACAGAACTGATTTTATAAAACTAGAAGCTAGGGCTGAGCGAATCTCATTTCCATTGTCCTTTTGATCATCTTCCAGGTCATTATGCAAAACTCTACATTCTACACGTGGAACATTCTGTATTTTTCTCTGAACAGGGCACTCTGGCTGTTTCTGAAAATTTAAAGTAAATCTCCCAGAACAGCAAGTTGGTTGCTGTGTTCCAGATGAGAACAGTCTGATCCCCGAGCAATTGGACCACCCTGTTCTGGAGGGGAAAATGGAATGTTGGGGGAGAAATGGTATGTTCCATGCCTCAAAGTTTGCACCTCCTTCTCCAACCTTTTTTTTGCACAATCATTTTACCCACCACCTCCTCACCACCCTCCCCCAAATTTTATATATAAGAAAGGATTTTTCAAAATGACCACCAGATCATTAGTATTCCTAATACAGTATTATATTAACACGCTCTTATGCTAAGGAGTTAGATGTTCTACTCCCCCTCCCCACCTGAAAGGAACTCTGTTCCAACTGCCAGTTGCCTTATATTAACACGCTCTGATGCTACCTCTTCGCTAGACTCATTCGGCCTGCGGGCTGGGGGTTTAGACATTCTACTCCCCCTCCCCACCTGAAAAGAGCTGTTCCAACTGCCAGTTGTCTTAGATTAACACGCTCTGATGTTAAAGAGTTACACATTCTACATTAAGTTTCAAGCTTTAAGTATAAAGCCCACACATAGTTTCATAGCGAAGAACGAATATCCAGCTAGCCTTATATATCCCCTCCAGCTGTGAAAAGGTTGACCTCCCCTACCATAAACTATGGCTTACAATTTGCAAAGGATGCGTGGAAATCTACAAAATTGGCACTCCGGTACAAATTAAGTGGCATCGCCTATTATCGGCTAGGAAGGGAGATCATGTTATCAGTAGGTTTGATGGTTATCAGCCCAGAAAATGCAGCGAGATGCTTTCCGCCCACAGTGAAAGCTGCAGAAAAGGGATGCACCAACTGAACAGCTTGTTCCATGCACAGAATAATTCTTGCAGGAAACGCATCGCCTTTGAATTTTTTTCTTTTCTTTCTTTTTCTTTCATTCTTCACCTTTAGAATCGCATGTGTGTGCGCTGTTTTGCAATCTAGAGGGTTGTCCGAAGGAGGGCTTCAACAGATGTCAGCTTAATAAATACAGGTAGTCCTCAAGCTATGACCACAATTGAGCCCAATTGAGCTCGGCAACCGTCGTAAGTATGAACCACTTGCCGAGCCTCTGGATCAGGTGACCACAGGGATGCTACAATGGTCGTTAAGTGTGAAAAACTGTCGTCAGTCACTTTTTACAGCGCCGTAATTTTGAATGGGCCCTAAATGAACTGTTGTAATTCGAGGACTACCTGTAGCCCTTTTTGTAAAATAAAAAATAAAAAAATAGAATAAGATAAAATAAATAATAAAATAGAATAAAATAAAATAATAGAATAGAATAATAAAAACTATAATAAAATAGAATAGAAATAGAATAAAANAACAGCTGGAGCCTGTTCCCAGTATGTGCATGTATAGGGTTGCCAGAAGAAGGGAACAGCTAAAGAGCAGGGGTTGACTTGGGAGTAAGACCAGACGATGAACGGCCCCTTCCAGAGGAAATAAAAGAGGAGCGAAAGGGGAGTGGAGTTTGCAGGAGACAATTAGTTCGCAAATTAGTTAGTGACTCTCAGAGACTCCCTGCCAAGTTCTGCAGATATCGGCCTGTCAGCTCTCTAAGTCAAGCTGTGACTGTAAATCCCCCTTTGAAAGACTTTTCTAGCTGTGAATGAGCAGAATTCACTGTAAATTAATAAAAGGGGTTTTTGCCGGGTCAAGGAGTTTGCTTCATGCTCTTGCTAAAATAAACCCTTCCCGAAAATATTGCCACACAGAAGCAGCTATGAGGTGACCAGGCTTGCTGCCTCCTGCACCTCAAAAATAATAAGATCTCCCTGGGGAGGAGGAGCCAACATTGCAACAACACAACATGGGTCTCGACAGTCCGAGACCGCCATTGACACTTTTGCCACTGGACGGTCCAGCAGGACCTGAACTGTCCCGGAGAGATGGTGATCAGGAAGACAAAGCCTTGCTGGTCTCAGGGACACCACAAAGTCCCTGATTGACCCGAGGGAAGCTCTTCAAGCCGGAGGCAAACAGGCAGCCCCCAGGCTGACGAAGTTGGAGATGGCTCCGGAAGGAAGGAAGTGAGGTTTTTTTTTACTCTGAGAAAGATTGCCCAAAGAAACTTTTTTTAAAAAGATAAATTACTCCTTTAAGTAAAAGAATAAAGCGGCGAATTTCATTCTTATTGGACTGCCGTGGAAAGTTTTTGTTCTTGGGAGGCCTCAGTCAGAACAGTAGTGGGTGAGCACAGATGTATGCACAGCTTGGGAAAGTAGCGGGCACATATGCCCACCACTTGTATAAATGGAGCTGCATGCCCATGTTCACCTGCCTCTCATGTAGAACTACTCCCTCTCCCACCACTACCCCCACTGATCCACAAAGCGAGAAAGTTTGGGACCAACTGTTTTAAAGCACCAGGGCGTAGTTATCTATCGTCTTCGCTGCCCTTTAGCTAAGACAGGGAAATTAGAGGGAAGAAAAAGCTCAAGGACGCCTCTAGTCATTTAATCCTTTTTCTAACACAGCATTGGTGCCCCACATGGGGCTCGTGGCCGGAGTCGTTGGGGTTGTGGTGGCCATAATCTTCATTGCTGTTGGAGTGACTGTCTACGTCAGTAAGTATCTCTTGGGTGGGCACAAGGTGCGTCGTTCACAAAATACGTGGGAGGTGCTGTCAACCTTCAC